ACTTATCACCATGACAAGAAACATAGTGGTAAGAGGCTTACTGGGAACTTTGAGAAGCTTGGCAGTATCTGAAATCTACTGGCTAGAACTGACAATAGGAAACTCAGCTATGGGACTTGGCTCCCTGATACCAGTGTAGATGATGGAGGGCAGGCTGTGGAACTTGTCAGAGGCCTGGCTGACATCGAGCACCAAGCTGTGGATCTGTAAAGAAGGCTAATATATATATCATGATATTCCAAGGGGCAAATAGAATGACAGCTGATTAGGGTATTATTTGACTTGCATACAGGCAGTCCCCAGGTTACACCGGCCGCTGTGTGGGAGGAAGATGAGGCAGTCACTTTCTGTGAAGATTTACCAGTGTGGAAACCCTATAAGGCAGTTCTGCTCTGTTCTATATATGGTCACTATGAGTTGGAATCAACTTGATGGTTGTGGGTTTGGTCTTACTGCATTTCTGCATTTTCAGTGATTTAGAAGCCACAAATGCAGCAAGTGAAGGGACTGTGAGGAAGAATTTGTTTTGAGCAGGAGTTGGTTCAATCTTTTCAAAATGAGGGCAAATTTACATAACACTAAAGGGCAAGTAGAGTTGTCCTGAATTCGGACTTCAAACCTTGGGACTGCCTGTGACTGTAACCCTTTCTCCTAAAAAAAAAAAAAAAAAAAAAAAAAACCTTAGACCTGGTAAGCTGAAGACAAGGAGCCCAGGTGGGCAATGTTAAAATCCACAGGAAATTGTAATGCTAAAACAACTTTGAAAAAATTTGAAAAATGGAGGATTTATTAAAAGCTACAATTATCAAGAAGTGGTATTAGTGTAAATAAAGCAAATAGATCCAGGTAACAAAATAGAGAATCCAGAAAGAGATCTACACATATATGGGCAACTGATCTTTGACAATGTTGCAGAGACAATTCAATGGAGAAAGGATAATGTTTACAACAAATGGTGTTAGAAAAACTGGATATCCATATGCAAAAATGTGAACTTTGATTCATGTTCATGTTATACAAAATTTAAAAAAGATTATAGACCTAAATGTAAAGCTAAATAATGTAGAACTTCTAGAAGAAAGTGTATGAGAAAACTTTTGTGAACTGGGTAGCCAGAGAGTTCTTAGATACAACACAAAGCATGATCCATGAAAGATAAAATTGATAAACTGGACTTCCTTAAAATTAAGAATGTTCACTCTGAAATACTCTTTTTAAGGGATGAAAAGCCACAGTCTGGGAGAAAAGTTTGCAAATCTGTACGAGTTGTATCCATAGTATATAAAGAACTGTCAAACACTCAATAAAAAAAAAAAATCTGGTAAAAAACACAAAGATCTGAATAGGCAGTTCATCTAAGAAGACATATGGATGGAAAATAAATACATGAAAAAATCCTCAACATTTCTTTGTATTGTTTTTAACTTTTTATTGTGATTGGGGTGAAAGTTTACAAATTTGTTTTCCATTCAACAGTTCATACATTTTGTTTCATGACATTGATCACAATTCTCACAATATGACAGCTGTCTTCTCACTTCCTTCATGTGGTTACCTTTTCCCTGTGTCCCTTCCAATGCATTTCTGCCCTTTGTGCTTTCTGCCTGCTTAAATGTTGACCTTCTGATCTCCCCTGGTTGATTGTTCTAAGGAGTGTATCTCCCTAGTGTAACTGTTCACCTCTAGGACTCTCTACTGTTTGGCTGAAAGTTAAGTGGGGTTGTGTGTGTGTGTGTGTGTGTGTGTTGGGGGGAAGGGGGGATAATAGGGGGTGTTCATTTCTAGGCTCAAAGGGTGACTAGGGGCTATAGTTGCTGGAGTTTCACCAGCCTGTATCAGAACAGGAAGCCTCGTCTTTTTTATGCTTTTGTGTTTTGTTCCACATTTCTCTCCTACTCTGTCCAGAATCTCCAATTTTGATCCCATTCTGAGTGGTTGGCACTGGCAGCCAGGCACCATCTAGTTCTTTTGGTCTCAGGGTGGTTTAGGCTTCTCAACATTTTTAGAAAATAAACCAAACCAAATGAAACCTACTGCCATCAAGTTGATTCTGACTCAGAGTGACCTTGTAAGATAACAGTGTAACTGCCCATTAGGGTTTCCAAGGCTGTCAATCTACATAAACAGATTGTCTCATTTTTATTCCACAGAGAGCGGCTAGTAGGTTCAAACTGTCAACCTTTTTGTTAGTAGCCAAATGCCTTAACCACTGTGCCACCAGAACTCCTGTTTTAGACAATAGGAACATGCAAATTAAAACCATAAGGCAATATTTCTATACAGGCAGTTCCTGGGTTGGAAATGAGATCCATTCCTAAGTGTCTTTAAGTTGAATTTGTACGTAAGTCAAAACAGGGGCACATGGTTTTTATTTGGCCTTACTTTAGGTCAAGAAAAATCTTGAAGCCTTTTCAATTATTTAAAAGCTGCAGATGATGAAGACTATGATGATTGTTTTGCAAGTAAGAGTTGGTTCAATCATTTCAAAGTGAGAACAAATGTACATAACATTAAAAGGCAAGTATCCTTTAATAACTTTCATATCCCAAGGACTGCTTGCACATAAATGTCTAAACTTAAAAGCACTGACATATCAAGCGGTGGTCAGGATAGGAGCAACTAGGACACACAAACACTGCTGTTGGGACATAAAATAGTACAACTACTTTGTCAAACAGTCTCCCAGTTTCTCAAGAAGTTAAACACACAGGTTACATAATCCAGGCATTCCACTCCTAGGTATTTACCTAAGGGAAATGAAAGCATGTGTCTATATAAAGACTTTGATCACATGATGCAGCTTTATTTGAAATAATGCCAAACTCATAGCAACCCAAATGTCTATTAACCCAAATGTCTATCCTGGATAGAGAGGGAGAACAATGTAGAACAAAACTCAAATTGTGATATATGCATATAATGGATTAGTACTCAGCAATAAAAGCAAAAAGTATTGATATGTATGGCAAAATAAATGTCAAAATAATTATGGTGAGGGAAAGAAGACAGAAAAAACAATGTGTATACTACATGCAGTACTGCGTTGTCAGTAAAGGCAAACATGGGCATATGGGTGAATAGATGGGTGGACAGGCTGAACTAGTAGGTATGTCTATGAAGCGGGGAGTGTACTCAAGACCATGTATAGGGTTGGCAGACAATGGTCCTCTAAGTGTATTTGTATGATATGAATTCCCAGGTGTATAGTAGAGCTGACAAGAGACAAGGTTGTAGTCACTTGTTCGTCACAGCCAGCTACTCAGAGGGACCAAGTAGATGAACCTGTGGGCTCAGGACCATAGTCACAGGGGACATCAAGTTCAATTGGCATAACATACTTCACAAAACATTGTTTCATCTCCTACTTTGGCGAGTAGCGAATGGGATCTTAAAAGCTTGCAAGCAGCCTTCTAGATGCAACGATGGGTCTCTCCTCATCCAGAGCAGAGAAGAATAAAGAAAACCAAAGATTCATGGAAAGAATTAGTCCTAGCA